TAGGGGGCAAGTTCGGGGGGATTTTAACAGGCCCCTCAGTTGATTCTGATGCCCCCCAAAGTGTGAGAACTGCCAAACATGACCACACAATGGCTCTGGGGATCCTGGTCTACCTAGAAGGCAAGCCCACTGGAGGGTGGCCTATCCAAGGGGGCTGAGGATGCCTGAGAAGAGGTAGAAGCCATATAGTGAAGGTGGGTTCTTCAATCCCATCTGAGAACAAGGGGCAACTAGTGAGTAAATCCTTGTAGACATAGAGATGGGCATAGAGCAAGGATGGGCGAGACAGTGGAAGAGGCATGAGATCGGGGTCTTCGGCCACACCTAAGCCAGAGCTTCTCACTAAGGAGGAGTACATTTTGTTTCCTCCCCAAAGGGACATTGGGCAATGTCTGGAGACATTCTGAATTGTCACAACTGGCAGGCACTGTGGAGGGGAGAAGGGTGTTATTGGCATCTAATGGGTAGAGACCAGGGATGCTGCTAAACATCCTACAGTGTCCAGGACAGCCCCCCGCAACAAAAAATGATCCAGCTCTCAAAATATCAATAGTTCCAGGTTGAGAAACCCTGATCTAAACTGAAACCACTCCAGGCAGCTGGGCAGGACCAACATTCATGAGTACTGACAAAGGAGAGTCACCCTCCAGGCTTCTAAGAAGTCAAGACAGACCCTATCCACCTCCATCTATGGGCTCCCAGTATGTTTATTTAAATGAAGAAATGATACATGAAAGTGACCAGGTTCTCATTCAACAGATAAACACATTCAACACCTCTACTTCATTTGGAGGGAAAGATCAATATCTAAATTTGACGGTCTTCACCAGTATGAGGTTCAACCAAATGTCTCCTCCACCACCCCCTTAAGCCCTGTTCTCAGTGACTCTCAGCTAGGGGAACAACAAGAAGGAAACATCTGACTTTCAGGCTTTTTCAGGCTTTCTTCACTACTCATTGGTGGTGTGACCTTTGACAAGTTACCTAATCTCTCTGAGCTTCAATTAGTTAATGAAGTTAATGAAGACACACATATTTAATTAGTTCTATGTGTTAGGCATTTACACACATGACCTCGTTTAACCCCCAGGAGAGGAGGGGTGTGAAGTGGGTGTTGAAGGTCGAGTAGGAGTTGGTTCCCAGCAGAGGGAAGATGAAGGGGCATCCCAGGGAGGTCAGGGATAAAGGTAGGTGCGGACAACAGGGTGCTCCCCGGGAGGAGGGAAGAGTGAAGATCAGGGCTGAGAATGATGGGTGGTGGGAGTCTGGAAGGGAAGCAGAGAAATCCCCAAGTCCTGTGCGCTGTGAACATGACATGACATCTCCGAAAGGGTCTGAGTATCCCTGCCTGTGCCCTCCAGCCCCCAGAGAACGTGCTTTTTCTTGGCTAAGAGCTGTGTACGCCTTCATTTCCCAGCCTTCGGAGACATTAAGGCTTTGAGGGGCACTGTCCAGTGCTATAACCACCAGCCACATTTGGCTACTTATACTTAATTAAAATTAGACAAAACTTCGGATTCGGCTTCTCATTGACCGTGGGCACATTTCAAGTACTCAATTGCCACATGGAACCAGTGGCTATAAAATTGGACAACATAGATATAGGATGTTCCCATCATCACACAAACTTCTACTAGACCATGTTGGCTTAGAGCAATCTTGGCTGTTTCATACAGAACCAGCATTTTTCCTTTTTCTGTTTCTGTCTTGTCTGATCAGCCCATAAACACAGTAGTAAGAGGAACAGCAGGTGCCACACAGCTAAGGGCTATAAACTTTACCTCATTTAACCATTGCTGCAACCCCATGAACTAAATATTACTAACCCTGCTTTAGAGATGAATAAATGGAGATTCAGAAAGCATGAGTATCCAAGATATCCAAGGTTGGCACAGCTTATAACCAGCAGAGCCAAGAGTTGAACCCAATGCCACCCAGCCCATAGCCCACACTCTTAACCAGCAAGCTACCCTGCCCATAGGAACCCATCAAGCAGCTAGATCCCAGGGTGAGCAAATTGGCGGCAATAAGCCAGATATTTCCCTCAAAGCTGATTATCACTGTCAGACTGGGAGCTAGGAATCTACTGAAATCTACTTCTGATTTTGCTCCTGGGTGAACGGAAGCAAATTAGCTCAACCTGGATGTTCCCCCTGGTCCCCTATTAAATATATTCTTTATATTTAGCTCATCACACAGGACTCTTAAATAAGTTTGTGTTGACAAAACACTTCAGATGCATTATTTAAACAGAGGTGTTAAAGGCTCTTAAAAAAGGAGGGGGGGAGAGGATAAAAACAGCTCTCCCTGAAGATTCACAACAGACAGGCCATGTGAGCCATTTCGGAGTTGCCTAGGTAATTGTTCCCCGTAATTTTTGCAAACTGGCCTCGTTCAGCAAGAGATGTTGGATTACTTGCTCTTTAGCCTCTGGCTTAGAGTAACTACTTTTTCCTGTCTCTGTTTAAAAAAGGAAAGATCTGGGCCAAGCATCAATCAGACCTAGTTTCAAATCCCAGCCCTTCTCTGTGCTTACTGTGGGACCCTGGGAAACTTACATAACCCCTCCGGGCTCAGTTTTTGCATCTGTAAAATAGGGCTTTTAATATCTTTTGAGAGTCAATGAAGTCACTTCTGTGTCAGCACCTGGTATGTTACAGACGCTCGAACACCTCACCTCTGCTGAATCCCCATTTGTAGTCATGTGATATCATAGGATCAGGCATTTCAGAGCCGAGAGGGAGCTGAGTGGCATTTAGGGCAGCCATCTCACAGACAATCCCTCTGTTTACCCCACGTAGGGAAACCATTGGCTTGCGAAATGGCTGTCATCAAGAACCACTCCCTGTGTGTTTTGGTGACATTTTCAAGAGGGTAAAACAGAATGTTCCCTCTGACAATTGCAGAACTCTCCACGCAGAAGAGTGGAGGTGGCTCTGACGCAGGCCACCAGCGCTTTGACACAGCAGGGAGGGAGGTCTAGCTGGCCCCGAGGGAGCAGCCAGAGGGGCCACTCAGGGCCATGCCCTCAGAGCTGGAGCCCTGACTTCCGAGTGATCCCAAATGACTATCAGCACCAAACTAGGGGTCAGGGGAAATGATGGGACCGGTATTATAAATCCCTAAAGCTGGGAAAGTTAGAACAGAGGACTAGGTAAGGGTCAACCTCGACACCTGAGACTGAAACCAGGAGGGACCCCAGAGCAAGCCGCGGTGCCCAAAGCTGGGGAACAGACAGATGCTATAGTCAGAGTAAAAGTGGATGGGAGGGTTAAAAAGAGGCCCGTTGTCACGAAGCAGGAGGGCAGAGCTCAGAGGGAGGAAGGACAGAGGTGAGGCGGGGCTGGTCAGAAGGTCTGGATTTTGAGGCAGAGTCAGTTCCATCACAGCCATGACCTCCCTCCATCTTAGAGGATAACCAGGTGGTGGAACCTAACTGAGATTGTCTCCTCCTGAATCTGAGTTCAAGAGCAGAGAGCCAGGAAAGCTTTGCAGTTAAGAAGTCAGCATTTAGAGTCAGGAACAAGTCTGGGTTTGAATCCCAACTCCACTGTCCGTAGCTGTGTGACTTAGGCTAGTGAATTAACCTCTCTGAGCCTCAGTCTCCTTGTCTGATGATGATTATGAGGATTATGATTATAATAATGAAGATGCTAATGATGGCGACAGTGGAGGAGGATGGTGATCCTCGTAGTGATGGTGATGATGATGAATAGGATGACGTAAGGAAAGTGATGATGGTAATGATGAGAGTGATTATGGCCATGGTGATGGTGATCGTGATGGTTATGCTGATGAGGAGAGGCTGCATGGTGATGATCACGAGAATGATGGTGGCAGTGGTGGTGACAGCAATGGAAGTTTGCATGGTGAGGGTGATGGTGGTGGTGGTGGCAGTGGTGATGATGGTGATCTTGGTGATGGTGGTGATGGTGATGGTGATGATAGTGATGTTGGTGGTGATGCTGGTGATGGTGATGATGGTGGTGGTGGTGGTGATGGTGGTGATGATGGTGGTGGTGGTGGTGATGATAGTGATG